TCCAGTATCATCGCATTCTGAAAAAGGTAACGGAGAATAATATCCAACAGGAAAACATAAGTTGTGGTGTTGTGCTGACTGACTGTTCTCTTCTCCTATTGGCTGTAATTTGGCGGGTTAAACGAATAGTCCACCAATCATAGTTCAGCAAGGGACTGCTGGAAGTATGTAATATATATGAAACAACGAACAAGTATGCCATAGAGTCCTTGGTATCCTTGGAAGGGTCCCTGGGGGGACACGGCCTCTGTTAGGGTCCCTAGAGGCGCCACCGTCCCTATGAGAGTCCTTGGGGCGCCGCCACCCCTGTGGAGGGTCTCTGCAAAAGTCCCTGGGGGAGCCACTGTCCCTGGGAGTGTCTATGGGGCCACCACGCCTCTAGGAGGCCTGGGGCGCTGCTGCCCTGGGAGGGGGCACTGTGAAGTCCCTATGGGCGCTGCTGCTGTCCCTAGGAGTGTCTAGGAGGCGCCACTACCGCCCATAGAAAATGGGCCCCTAGGAACGCCACCACCCCTGGGATGGTTCCTGGGGACACCGCCCTTCCGTGGGAGTGTCCATGGATCGCCGACGCCCACTCGGAAAGACCCTGGAGGTGCTGCTGCTCCCGGGAGTGTCGCTGGGTGATCCCTGGGGATGTCACCGCCCCTGGAAGTGTAATATGGAGCTCCACCGTCCCTGAGATGGTCTCTAAATGCCCTGCTGCCCCTGGAAGGGTCCCTCGGGTCGCTGCCGCTCCTGGGAGGGTCCCTGGGCGTGTCGCCACCCCTGGGAGGGTGCCTGAAGGTACCCCCTTCCCTGGCAGGGTCCTTGGCAGCGCTGCCGTCCCTGGGAGGGACCATGGAGGCACCACCGCTTTGAGAGGGTCCCTGGGAACTTACCGCCTCTGAAAGGGTCCCTAGAGATGCCACCATCCCCGGGAGGACCTCTAGGGGAACTGTCGACCTTGAGAGAGCCCCTGGAGGCACCGCCACCCTTAGGAAGGTCACTGGGGGCGCTACTGCACCTGTGAGGGTTCTCTGAGGCGCCATCCTGAGAGGACCTCTGAGAGCACGAGCCCTATAGGGTCCCCCAGAGTGTAGTTTTTGCACTATTTGGAACTCCGGGAGATGCTGAGTTAAATAAACACACACACAGCCCATCACATTTCCAATATCATCGCATTCTGAAGAAGGTAACGGGGAATAGAATCCAACAGGAAAACATAAGTTGAGGTGTTGTGCTGACTGACTGTTCTCTTCTCCTATTGGCTGTAATTTGGCGGGCTAAAAGAATAGTCCACCAATCATAGTTCAGTAAGGGACTGTTGGAAGTATGTAATATATATGAAACAACGAACAAGAATTTCATAGGGTCCTATGGTACCCATGGAAGGTCCCTGGGGACACCGTCAGGGTCCCTGAGGCGCCATCGTCCCTAGGAGGGTCATGGCGCCACCACCCCTGTGGAGGATCTCTGCAAGAGTCCCTGGGGAGCCACTGTCTCTGGAGTGTCCATGGAGGCGCCACCGCCTCTAGGGAGGGTAGAAGGAGGCGCTGCAGTCCCTGGAAGTGTCGATGGGGACATCACCGCCTGTGGGAAGGTTCCTGGGAGCGTCACTGTACCTGGTAAGGTCCTGGGAACGCCGCCGCCCCTAGAGGGTCCCTGGAAGTGTCACTTGTTAAGCCACAGCCCTTGTGAAAGTCCTCGTGGTGCCCCCGACCTCAGGTGGGTTTCTGGTAGCATCACCATGCTTGGGAGGGCCCTGAGGCACCGCCGCTTCTGAGAGGGTTCTGGGAGCACCAGACCTGTGGGCCCCTGGGTGCAGTAGTTTTGTGCTATTTAGAACTCTGGGAGATGCAACGCTATAAGTACACCGCCCATGACATTTGTGCATCATCGCATTCTGAAAAAGGTAACGGAGAATAATATCCAACAGGAAAACATAAGTTTAGGTGTTGTGCTGACTGACTGTTCTCTTCTCCTATTGGCTGTAATTGGTTAAACGAATAGTTCACCAATCATAGTTCAGCAGGACTGCTGGAAGTATGTAATATATATGAAACAACGAACAAGTATGCCATAGAGTCCTTGGTACCTTGAAGGTCCCTGGGGGACACCGCCTCTGGGAGGGTCCCTGGAGGCGCCACCGTCCGGAGAGTCCCTGGGGCGGCCACCCCTGTGGAGGACTCTGCTAAAGTCCCTGGGGAGCCACTGTCCCAGGAGTGTCTATGGGGGCGCCACCACCGCTGGGAGGGTGGCAAGCGCCTCTGGGAGGGGCACTGTGAGTCACTGAGGCGCTGCTGTCCCTAGGCGTGTCCTGGAGGCGCCGCTGCCCATAAGTGAGCCCCTAGGAACGCCACCACCCCTGGGATGGTTCCTGGGACACCGCTGTCCGTGGGAGTGTCCATGGATCGCCGACGCCCACTGGAAAGACCTGGAGGTGCTGCTGCCCCTGTAGTGTCGCTGGGTGATCCCGGATGTCACCGCCCCTGGATGTGCAATATGGAGCCCACCGTCCCTGAGATGGTCTCTAAATGCCCTGCCCTGGAAGGGGTCCTGCCTGCCGCCCTGGAGGGCCCGGCGTGCCACCCCCGGGAGGGTGCCTGAATTCTCCCAGGGTCCTTGGCAGCGCTGCCGTCCCTGGAGGGACCATGGAGGCACCACCGGCCCCTGAGAGGGTCCCTGGGAACTACCGCCTCTGAGGGTCCCTAGAGACGCCACCATCCCCGGAGGACCCTAGGGAAACTGACCTTGAGAGAGCCCCTGGAGGCACCGCCACCCTAGGAAGGTCACTGGGGGCGCTACAGCACCTGTGAGGTTCTCTGAGGTGCCACCGTCCCTGAGAGGACCTGAGAGCACGAGCCCTGTAGGGTCCCTGAGTGTAGTTTTTGCACTATTTGGAACTCTGGGAGATGTTGAGTTAAATAAATACACAGCCCATCACAATTCCAGTATCATCGCATTCTGAAGAAGGTAAAACAGGGAGAATATTCAACAGGAAATAAGTTGATGTGTTGTGGACTGACTGTTTCTTCCCA